GGGGGGGGGGGGTGGTGTAATCCATAATATATATACTTTTCTCGAAACGGGGTGAAACGGCGAGAGGGACGAGAAGTGGTACGAAGAGAGCATAAAAGATAGGAGAGAGGGTGAGTATTTCGATGGTGGTACCCCTGCGTTTACGACTCGGCCATAAACCGTCTCGGGGGTTGCCGACACTTTGTTATCGATATCGCAGCTTAAAGAGCTTGTAAGAGGTTCCTCCGTGTATCACAGGGCCGATAGAGGCTGTCCCGGCTAGGAAAGCTACGCGATAATGAAACTCCTCTTGATAGGCTCGAGGTTGAATTATCAAATCGTCAAGTCCCAATGAAAATCACTGGCGTCATTCGAATCAGTGCTCTCGCAGCATCTGCTGTTTTTCGTAAAAGCATCAATGAACCCGCAGCAGGAACATGAGGGTGTTTAGCGTACCAGACACAAATCAGGATCGAACCCAATTCCACTCAGGAAGGGTCTTGACGTCACGGGTAAATATCGAATCTGCCCACGAATGTTCATCGCGACGTGAAGATTTAAATGCATTCAATTTTCGTTAACTTTCTCGAAAGATTTAATTTGACACTCGGGATCCATTTTGAATGGACCACGTGGAATTTCATAAAAACTTAACTGGAGGATCGTGCGTCGCCTGGATGAAATTACATGTTAATTTGCGAGTCGGCGTGTTTCCTTCGCAGACTCGTAAAAATCCTCGTAAAAGGCAGTTGGATGGTGGATCAAATGGGTCCTGTATTGAAATTTCTGTCAGGCCCAAAAGGATCTCTGAAACGAGGTCGAGACGAAGGTGAAAAAAGTAAAGGGTGCTTATCTCAAAGACATCCCCGTAATTCCGACGACTTTTAAGATTCGGCATATTCAGCCGTTCGCGATTTATTTCGCGAGGCTGTCAGAGCGAATCGAGCGGATATCAACAACTTTTAGCGCCGCTGGGGAAGTATGTAAAACCAGCCCCTCCAACTTGAGAAGAGTCAGCAACCCTTGTAACCTATAAGGAAGCGGCTCGAATATGAGCGGGAATAATCTTCAGCTGTTGAATGAAAATGTTTACGCCCCAGATAGGGGGCGGCAGGGGATGACTTTCATTCGATGCGAGAAACGCCGAGAGAAATGGATAGCGAAGGAGGCAAAGAGTATGTGAGAATAAGGAAAAAGGGGGAGTGAGACGCACAGGAGAACAGGGTGTAGACGCGCTACACGCTTCCATATGGGGAGAATATTCTACCCTCTGCTACGGGGATCAGACTATAGCTCATGTACAAGTTTGCGTCATGTCGACTTTTGATTTCAAAAAAAAATAAAAAAAAATAAAAAGGAAGATCGAAGAGCACATTCCATGATGTCCCAGGGTGTCCCGGATTGTTTCAGGCTGTTTCAGGACGTCTAATGGTGCTGGGGTGTGGTTGTAGCTCCCCATCGAATCTTGTGATTTCGTTCGATCATAACGAAGCCTAGACTCGCTTTAACGAGACTTCGGAACTCGGAACGTGCCGCGTGACCCAGCGAGTAGCAGCCAAGTCTTCGTTCAGCGAACCCAGAAACCATTGGGCCCCCTTGGGAGGGTTCCTTCCCATTGTGCATTTTCACGAGTTTCTGTATTTCTAAGATAGGTTGACTGGGCGACGATCGGAAATTGCCGGCATGGACGCGCGGATAGGAAAGTTCGTGGAGAGCGAACCAATTGATCGGGATGCTCGATGCCGGAGAGAACGAGAGGGCACAGGAGAGAGAGCGAGAGAGAGAGAGAGAGAGAGGGGGGCAAGAGTGCGACGGAAACACGTTGAAAAAGAAGGGATGGACCAGCGAGAGAGACGCGGAGGAGGGACAGTTACGTTCAGAATGAAAGAAGAGAGAGAGAGAGAGAGAGAGTGAGAGAGAGAGAGAGAGAGGGGGGAGAGAGGATGGTCGTGGCTCCAGATAAGCGCGAAAAATCAGATAACTATGGACAGCTGCAGGATAGGTGTGGCAACAGTTAGGCCAGATATGCATGTAGACGAGCTAGATGATTGAAGGAAATATCTGGTGGGCACGCGGAATAACCGAATCCAAGAAGAGAGAATCGAGCGAGTGCGCGTAAAGTGGCTGGAGGAGCGGGGGTCGCGTCCCTGATGAATCAAGAGAAGGGAAAGAGACTAGAAACAGGATTATAGTAAATGAGCCACACTACACGGCCCGTGATAGAAGAGAGCATCGAAGTAAGGAGGTTTGCAGCATCCCCCGTGACGGGGGTTGCAACAAGATGGCGTCGAGCCTCCGCTCGTTTCCCTTCCCCGATCCTATCCTGGGTGTCCTGCGTTCCCGCCATGACGCCGGGATGACACCCGAGCAGCGCCGAACGCCGGCGAAACGGCACGAGCGCCGAAACGCGGGCAGCTGTGAGTCGGACAAAGAATACTCTTGGAGCACACAGTCACTGCGCGGCAAGCACACTCAGCACGGGGCAGCCCGCAACCAAAGGTACACTTCCAAAGTGACCGGGTAACTTTAAAAGCGAGAGTTATCCCGAGGGAAGAGAGGTCGAGGGTATCGCGCGAGATCGCCAGGAGTTTTACCGTGGACGTTTTAGAGAGTCGAGGTGTCGAGTGAGAAAAAGTGTTTTAACCGGTCGACTGTGTGTTAGTTTACGTTTCGCTGACAACTTGCACTTTCGGATTATATACTTCTATCACTTGATTCTGCCAACGTTCAGTTACCGTCTGCGTCGTTCTCTCTCTCTCTCTCTCTCTCTCTCTCTCTCTCTCTTATCAATCATCCATTATCCGCCTTCTCCCATTATCCCATCCTCGTTCACCTTTCACCTATCACCTTCTTCGTAACTTTCGCTCTCTGGAAACTGCCGTGCGCCGAATACATATTTCTTACTCCACGCTAGTTCTTCGTCCAGTGTTGACTCCCTGTCTCTCGGAGAGTCTCTCTCCCGATTCCGTGAAATCTTCAGTTTTATCGTATTCTCTCTCGTTCCTTGTCCCTTTTCCCCTCGCCTCCTGCCCCTCCTGCCCCTCCTCCTCCTCCTCCTCCTCCACCTCCTCTCCTCCTCCTCCTTCCTCAGTTTCCCTCAGTTTCCGTCACCGCGAGTCTCCTGCTCGCAAAGTGGTCCCCGTCGTCGAGGAGCGCGAGCACACGCTTCGCGACGCTTGCTACTGCTCGGAGTGTCGACACCACGAGGACGTGGGGATCAGTCGAGGAAGACGAGCACACGGAGACGTCGACTAGGAGGAAGACTGGGAGGAGAGAGAGCTGGGAGCACGAGTAGACCGGGAGTACGTGAACGGGAGTTTCTACAGGGATCCGGTACACGAGGAGTGTTACTACGAGTTACGGATTACTATGCGGAAGTTCGGTTTCACGTCGGTTCGGTGTTGTTCGGTTTACGCGAGTAAAGTTTTACGCCGCGGAGAACATCAACAACAACGACGTCAACAGCACGTTAGTTCTTGTGCTTGCGAAACGTAATTGGGATGTGACACGAGATGTCTCTCGGCTTATTCGCTTTGGAGAAGCCACGCAGAGTATAAACAGGTTCTTAAACATTCTACCATACTACCATACTGCCATGCTACCATTCTACCATTTCACCGTGAGTCTCGTTGCTCGTCCAGACTATTGTGGTTCGCCGTTCGCGCGAGACTTATCACCGGTGACGATCGATAAGGATTTTTAGGCCGTATCGAAACATTCAACCTCGAGAAACAGGAAGGACGTGATCCGTGTTCTCTGGTGGTCTTACGTTCCTCCCTGCCGCCGCCTATGCTTCTCTGTCTTCTCCTCCTCCTCCTCCTCCTCCTCCTCCTCCCACCCACCTTCCACCCCTCGTCCGCCTCATTCTCTTGTATTCCGCCTTTTTCTTTTTTTTCCCTTATTTCCTCGAAGCGTCCATGCTGTTTTCGTGCTGGTCTTTCCTGCCGATCGAATCGTACCGAGAATCCTTGCTGAAAATCTGTAGCGCTTTATACACGCGGATGCGTCTGTTTTCTTTGTGCAAATTATATGGAGAAGGCATCGGCACGAGAGATCTCTGGCGAATTTAGTGAAAACTCTCCTGCTGCCGGTGAACGTGCAATTCGGAAGGACCAGAAGGTTCCGGTAGAGAATTTTTCGTCGACCGGAAGCGTATCCGGTAATTCGTTAAACCGTACCAAACGTACGTTTCAACCTGGATAATCTATGGATACGATAGTGGAACGCCAAACCGTTGTTTCGTCTCTGACTCGGCTATAGGAAAAATAACGAATTTCGCTCATCAAAATCGCCGAAGAAGATCCTCTCCCGGAAGCGTCGGAATCATCGAGACGTCGAAACGTCGATCATTACGATCGTGTTATTGGCTCGATGAATCGATCTTATTTACTCTTATCGGACGTGAATTTATCGTGGCGCGAAGGAGTAATTGTGGTCGGCGAGTGGAATCGCGTCCGAGCGATTCCAAAATTCGTAGATGATTAATCGCTCGAAAATATCGTGAAAATTTGAGGCAATCGCTCTTTAAGAATTCCGCAAGGAATCGCAGGGGAAATTCAGTACTTTGGGAGTCTGGGGAAAAATCAACTCTCGGACAGCTGGATTCTCCCGAGACAACGAGTGGAGGAAAAAAAAGCAAGGGGCTTTCTATCGGGTGGCAAATACGAAAAGGCGCTGTCGACATTCGATTTTGCAAAAATGAAAACGTCAGAGTCACGACGATCGCAACATCGCGCGAGCGGCTTATCGTTCCTCGCATTTCCAAAACATTGATTGCCTGTCAGTTTAATCGCGACGGCGGTTCTACGCGGACAACTTGAAGCAACAATCGCGCGCGCTCCTTCCTTTCTTCGCGTTACGTTAATTTCGTTTTGACTTTTCGTAAAATCGTCCACGTGTGCTTCAGGATATTCCATAGTCCTTCCATAGTCCTTATTTCGATCGGCCCTTCGCATCGGCACTTCTGTCGTCGTGTGACAGGAATCGGAAGAAGGAGGAAAATAATAAAAACTAATAAAGACCAAGAGAAGGGAGGAAGAACGAGGAGGACCTTTGATTATTCATCGAGAGGCTCGACACTCCGCAGTCTCTTTACTTGGTTCGTGGTTTCGAGTCTCTTGGTACTTTCGACGAATCTAATTAGACGGACGGCCGATACAAAGAGCAACGGAACAAGGGAAAGTGGG